GTCTACTGGTAGCTGCAGGATTCTCTGGATGTGCTTATCTCGAGATTCACTTCTCCCATCCCTGCAGCAAATTGGATATTGGATTTGGAAAGCTGGGACTTGTAGTGCGCTAGATGGGTTTGTGAATTATGTTGTGCTGAAAGGTTGCCTGTGTTGTATCTATGTAGAGAGCCATGGTTGACACACAGACTAGACTTAATACTTGTCTGCATTTGTTCACCTCCATTACATGATGAATTGATGAGACTAGTAGTTTACAAGGAAAGGGAAAGGTGCTAGTGTTTTAATCTCACAGGAAGTGACAAGAAACTGCATTGCTTTGAAGATCAACAAGTATTTTCTGTGCTTGCTAAAAATATTCTTAGTGTTACTAAACCCAAGACCCTGTATTCACTCTATCTAGCCTTCCACAATACACAGAACATGGAAATATAATTATTTGGGTAAATATAAACTGCTAAATACCTTCTCTCATCAGCAGTATATAGCAGTCTTGTGACTTCTATCGGTGTCCAGCTGAGCACTGGTTAATCTCGTAGGAGGAGTTTTCATTCTCCTCTCACTGCCCTATGAGGCTGCAAGACCTCTGACCCTCTGTGTGGACACTGATCATTGGCCCTGTGCTAATCACATGCACCCTCCCATGAGTAAAAAAAAAAAACCTCTCTAGCAGTACACACCAAACTGAGCATGTGCAGCTTGTCTCTGAGCCCCTGTTCTATCACAAGATGATTTGGGGACTGTGAAAGAAGGGGAGGATCAGAGAATACAGGAACAAACAGTCTTTTTACACAATAACTCCTTAGATTTTACAGTGAGTATAAGACATATGCTTCACTGAATATGCAGATTGATTTTACTGTTGTGGGTTTAGTAACACTTCAAATGAAATGAATGCAGCCAGCACATCTAACAAATTGTAAGCTAAAGTAATTTTTTTTTGTTTTTAGGTTTAGATACTCTTTAAACTTTAACCTCTTCCTGCCGCCAAAATGCATATATGGTGATGAACCTTACCACCCAGCCACCACACATATGTATACATGGGGTTCTAACGTTTTTTTGTGAAGTCTATAACTGTCCTGCTGCTTGCCAGTTTTTCATTGCTGTATCCTCTGCATATTGCAGTAAAGTCCCAGTCTCTAATAAATTGACACCTAGCTGGTTATTCAAAATTGTCCTGATGCTGGCTAATTTTACACGGCTGTTTCATCTGTGGTCTTTTAATTCTTAATGTGAGTTTGATAGAAATTGGACAGCGGCAGGATATTTTGCCTATTACCAGTAAAAAACAGTCAGAATTTCAAAATGGGATGCACCACTCATAGACTTCAATGGGGTTCACTGCTAGATTAGGGAATTTCAAACAGGATTCACAGAACCCTTGGGGAACTGAACCCAGGCAAATTTGCAATCCTTAGTGGTAGGTAATACAAGGGGAAAATCCCAGGGCACAGCAATTCCAGAAGAATCCTGGAATGAGCAATGCATACAACAGGACATTAAAAATGTCTTATGGAATTGCATTCAGACACAACATTTGATAATGTCGGCCATCCTTCCTTCGCTTCACTAGAGCAGCCAAGGGTAAAATTTCATTCATATACCAGTTCACAGCATTATGAAGCATTTCCATTTCCGATAACCCTCAGTCCCGTTTACCATAGTGTTATAGCTGCTATGAAGTACCTCTGCTGTCTGCTGGCAGGAGTGACAGTTCATAAATCTGTCCCAAAATGCAAGTGCTCTATAATTAACCTAACCTAGTGGAAAGAAAATGCCTTTTCTAAATTGTTCCTTGTACCATGACTTGAAATGCTTAAGCTGTTGGCCTAATTTGAGATAACAAGCTTATCTTCAGCTATGCCCCAATTAAGATGAAACTAGGTGCTCTTGCATTTTGTACCTTTTCTGATCTTTCATAGCGCGGAATAAATTCACATTTCAAAACTTGTGTAAGGAAACCGAATATCAAACTGTCTGATGAGAAAAGCTGCATCTCGTTTCCCAAGGAACTGCCTCAGACAAAGGGGCAGAATACAAAAAAAGATCATAAAATGAAGCTGTGGGGTTTTCTCTTGTCCAGTGCACAATCCTTCTATACGGAAACCATCAGCATTCCACTGCACATGCTTTGTAAGTATATTACTTTTTAATCACACTTACATTTAAATTAATGGGTTACTGGTTTATGCCAGGACAGTCTTTGTTATCCTTTCTCTATTTTAAATTAAGATTTCTTACATCTTGGAAGAATAGCAATGCACTCTCATTTTAAAGTTAAGTGGACTTCGACTGGACTTGATTCTCTGCCACTTTGACTGATGCCACTAACAATTAATGTAACAAATCAACAAACAGTACCTTGGGTGGTTCAAGAAGGATGGGATCTAAACTTTAGCAGGGGTCAGCAGATGAAGCTGGCAGATTAAGGCTAGGTTCATACTGTTGGTGGTGCAGGACAGCGTGCTAATCACACACATTCCCGTACCAGCAAGCAACCACAGCCAAAGCCCACTGCTCTTTTGCAGATGGACAGGGGTGCTAATGGCACCCCCACACATCAGGAAATACTATGTGTTTTCTGGTGCATGAAACAGCTACATTTTAGAAAAGGTGCAGGAACCTATGTCCTTTGTTTCCCACAGGAACAGCAGTCCGTTCAAATAATGGGCTGTTAGGCCCTAGCAAATGTGGCACACACAAAACACAATAGTGTGAACCAAGCCTTAGGGCTCATGTACATTGCAGCTGATAAACTCACATTTAGGAGCTGTAAAGCGTTTTTTTTTCAGCAGCCCCTGAACTCACCCTAATGTGTTCCTATGTGTCCATGTACATATCTTCGTTTACAGTCATTTACAGGCATTTGAGTTTACAGTCGTTTTTTTGAACGCAGAAAACTGTGTTTAGCAGTTGTTTTTATCAGCGTTTCAAACACAAAATGCTTGTAAATGCTTGTAAACATGGCAAATCACGTTTATAAGCGTTTGCAAATTTTTTATAACTCTTCCAGTTACTGATGCTGTCCAGAGCCTTTTTTCATCATGAAAAATGCATGCAAAGCATTTTCAAGGTACTCAGATGGACAAAACACTGAACACAGGATGTTCCTACCAAGCTTGTCACACATTGTAATGACCAATTCACACCTCAGACCTCTCCCACCCTTGGAAACAAAAGATATGTTAATGACCATTCACACCTCAAATTCCTCATGAAGACCCCTGCCAGGTGACCTTAATGACTCACTCCACCAGACACCTATCCCACCCTTGGAAACAAAAGAAATGTTAAGGAGCAACTCACACCTAATTATCTCAACACATACTGCTCTCTCTGTTTTTCTACTCTCTGTATTTCTCTGAAACAGTCTGAAATAGTTAATAATTTACCAGTTTTCAGTGCATTCTGGGCATTTGGGAGGTTCTCCTGTGCTTATCTTTAAAAAACGCTTCTAAACGCAAACGCACATAAACACAGATAAATGCGTTATGCAAACGCGGCTAAACAGATGTTTTTTAACCTACGTTTTCCAGCAGTCAGTTTCCATCGTTCAGAAGTGTCCCGTGTACATGGGGCCTTAAAGAGAAGTATGGCCAAAGCTTTTTTGGCCATACTTCTCCAGTGGGTTACAGAAGCGCATTTACTTTTTCTCTCATGTGATCCAGAATTAGCCTATAGAGGTCTACTGCCTGCTCTCAGCTGATGTGGCAGAGCCACTCCAGACTCTGGAATGATCCAGACAATAATGTCGGGATCCACCCAGCTGTCTGATTGACAGCTGGCTCAACCTCTCAGAGCATGACTGAGTGCTGGAGACAACTGGACTCACCCCATCCTCTTCCCAGAACAGAGAGTGGTGACTGACAATCACAGCTCTCTGCTCTGAGCTGACGGAGAACTGAGCAATCGGCAGTCATGTGCTCACATGCGAAAGCTGCAGCATCACTGTGGCAAAGAGGTGAGTATGGATTTTTTTTTTATACACTTCAAACTTCTTCTTTAATTTTTATAACCAGGCAGATCCAGCAGTTTGGTTAGACTGCTTTAACATTAATCAGTTTTTCTTCCATTTTTGCATTAAAAAAAGGGGCAGAAAAAAGCATTACCATTAATTCCTATAGATCTCTTCACACTGGCCAGTTGCATGTTCGTTGCGTTTTTCAAAGTCCTGCAAGCTGCATCGTTGGTGCAGTAAAAATAGCACCAAAAATGCCCCTACCAATTGAAATTAATTGAAAATGCATAAAAAACGAGGTAAAAACGCATCAAAACACACCCACCACCCACGGTTGAGTTTTTAGTACGTTTTGTATGTCCCTTTTTCACAGGTGCAAAAGCACTGGAAACGCGGGTAGAACGCATGTGCGTTTGTACTGCTTTTTTGCAACTAAAGAGTGTGAATATAGCCTTATTGTAGAAAATAAGGAATAAGGAAAGATAAGAAGCAGCAATGTCCTGGGTACATGAACTGCTGGATCTGCCTGGTTATAGAAATTAATCTGCCAGCTTGAGTTTAAAGAGGACTGCTACAGTTGAGATATCATCCTTCTTGAACTCCCACCTCCGCAGGTACAATTTATTTGTTTACCACACTAGTCATAATCTTTCTCTAACTCCCGCAGGCATTGTTCATTCATTTATTACAACCAGAGACACTGGATTGCATGTAAAGTACAGCCGCAGGTTAAGCCAATGGAGGCACATTGCTTATTATTACAAAGCATCAAGTTACAGGCAAGTGTTTCCTTTTAGATATGCAGTGATGGGCACTGATAGGCTACACTGATGGGCACTGATAGGTGGCACTGATGGGCAATGATGAGGAGGCACTGGTAGGTGGCACTGATGGGCATTGACAAGCATCACTGATGGGCACTGAAAGGCAGCACTCATAAATGGCACTGATAGGCAGCACTGATAAGTGGCACTGATAGGCGGCACTGAATGGCACTGATAGGCGGAACTGACTGGCACTGTTAGGTGGCACTGATTGGCACTGTTAGGCGGCACTGATAGGCAGCACTGATGGACACTGATAGGCAGCACTGATGCGCACTGATAGGCGGCATTGACTGGCACTGATAGGTGGCATTGACTGGCACTGATAGGCAACACTGATAGGTGGCACTGACTGGCATTGATAGGTGGCACTGACTGGCACTGATAGGTGACATTGAAAGGCAGCTCAGATGGGCACTGATATGTGGCATTGATGTGCACTTGTAGGCACTGATATGTGGCATTGATGTGGCACTGATGGGCACTGGCAGGTGGCACTGATGGGCACTGACAGCTGGCATTGATGTATACTGACAGGTGGCACTGCTGGGGCTACACTGATCATCAGGGCACACTGATCATCAGTGCCCTGATGATTAGTATAGATGTCCCCTCTGAGGAATGCCGATTACTGGCTCTCCTCTCCTCTCGAGCTGTCAGCGTGACAGCTCGTGAGGAGAGAGATGCAGATAACCGGCATTTCCCTATTTACATGCGATCAGCTGTGATTGGACACAGCTGATTACATGACCGAGCCGACATCTTCGGCTCTTTCCGTTGACCGGTGATCCGCTGTGTCCTAGGGACACAGTGCACCACCGATCACCGCACTGTGCATTCCCGGAGCCGCGCATGCGCGGTTAGAGTGGGAGGACGTCATATGATGTCCTCCTAGAACAAGAGAACCGCCTTGCACCCATCATTACCTTATATGGCAGGCGGGAGGCGGTTAAACACAAGAGAAAATACTCTAACATTTGATTTTGCCCCATTTTCAGAACTGCTGGTTACCTGCCACAGAACAAATGTAATTGTTTTTTTGCTGAATAGCTATGCAATGTGGGATCTTTTTTTAAAAATAGACCCCACAAGTTTTGACCTTTAGAATTTGTTGAGCATTACTTCAATATTATTATTATACAGGATTTATATAGCGCCAACAGTTTGCTCAGCGCTACAATATAACGGGAGACAATACAGCAACAATTCAGTTCAATACAAGAGGGTTAGGAGAGCCCTGCTCCTTGGAGCTTACAATGCTTAATAACACTATCTGTAGCAATAAATTAAATTAATATGAATAACAGTAAAAAATAAAAATCTCCTTACAATGCCGTCTATTCATAGATCATTTATGGAAGCTATAGTACAGCTTCTATGAACAGAGAAGGAGGCCTCGCTGGCACTCTTGATGAGTACCTTTCACAGATCCTTTGACTATATTAACTTCTGCAGCACTGGAAGATTACCACTGTAAGGGGTATTGGGAGAAGATGGATGGAAGATATCAACAAAAGCAGCAGCTATCAGCACAAGGGACACTTTATTTATTTAATATAGGTACTTATATAGCACCATCAATTTACACAGTGCTGTACATCTATATTGTACTTTCACATCAGTCCCTGCCCTCAAGTGGCATACAATTTAAGGTTCCTAACTTACATTCATACATGCACACACTAGGGCCAATTTAGATAGGAGCCATTTAACCTACCAGCATGTCTTTGGAGTGTGGGAGGAAACCCATGCAGGCACAGGAGAACATGCAGGTAGTGCCGTGGTGGGATTCAAACCAACGACCCAAGTGCTGCAGAGTACTGTCTCTTGTGCTGATTTGAAACACAAAAAAACATGTTTGAATAAACGTAGGATTTAAATCGGCATCTGTCTCTAAAATAATACTTGGTGGCCTTGCCATGAACCCCGGTACAAATCGTTAGTAGTAATACCTCATCTGGAATATGCAGTTCAGTTTTGGGCACCAATTCACAAAAAGAACATTGGGGAACTGGAGAAAGTACAGAGAAGGGCAACCAAACTGATAAGAGGCATGGAGGAGATCAGCTATGAGGAAAGATTAGAGGAACTGGATTTATTCTCTCTTGAGAAGAGGAGATTAAGGGGGGATATGATCAACATGTATACATACATCAGTGGTTCATATAGTGAACTCGGTGTAGAGTTATTCACCCTGAGGTCATCACAGAGGACAAGGGGGCACGCTACGTCTGAAGGAAAAGAAATTTCATCTCCAAACACAGAAAGGGTTCTTCACAGTGAGAGCTGTGAAAATGTGGAATAGGCTCCCTCAAGAGTTGGTTCTGGCCAGCTCAGTGGATTGCTTTAAAAAAGACCTGGATTGTTTCTTAGATGCACAGAATATAACTGGATACAAACATTTATAAGTAAAGTTGATCCAGGGAATATCCGATTGCCTCTCGGGGGATCAGGAAGGAATTTTTTTCCCTGCTGGAGCAAATTGGATCATGCTTTGCTGGGGGGTTTTTTGCCTTCCTCTGGATCAACTGTAGGTATTATAACTTTCTTTTTTTTTAGTGGTTAAACTGGATGGACTTTTGTCTTTTTTCATCCAGACTAACTATGTAACTATGAAAGTTCCTGTCCAGGCATTTCCTATTATATGGTGACTACACTTAATTTCTGTCTCCTCATTGTTGCCACTCTGTCACACAATCTCCCAGCCAAGACTTCAAGCAGCCAAGTACTTAACGCATGTATTTTTCATTGACTTGGGAAATAGCATGCAGTGGCTGCTGAAATACACGTATGTAGACATGAAGTAGATGCAAAGAGATGCAAAGAGATTGCACCTCTTAGATGCAATAAAGGGAAAAAAAGATGAAAAGAAGTATTTTATTTCTTTAAAAATGGCTATTGTTTATGCCATTTAGTTTGCATGTACTTTAAAGAAGAGTCATTTTGGAAAAAAGCAAACTGCTAATGCTGACCTCTTCTTCTGAAAAGTGGTTATTTTGGTTTTAGGCTGATTTGTCTTCACTGCTTTCTGAGTCACTAAGCCAGGCAGATCAGGAGTTCTGACCTTGCTCTGACTTTTATTTGAAGCTTGCTTGTTTTCTTAGACTTACGTGTATTGAAACCAGATAAAGCCACACAACTAGCATTTTGTGCAATAGCAACCAATATAATTCTCATATGGCAAATGTACTGTAGAGGAGCTCTTGAATGTATGGCAAAGGATAAAATATAACAGCCTTTGTTCTATTTAATAGACCCGCACAAATGGATAGTCTGAAATTTAGTATCTACTGGTACTTGAAGGGGAAGCAGGTTTCCTTGGTAGTGCGTTCTTAGTGCTGTGATTCTGGTCCTCCTTGACTCTAGTGCAGCTGTACAGGGAACAGGTATTCATTTCCATACTATGCAGGAGCAGAATTTAATTATTTACAAAAAAAATTATTTTATGAATATTGTGGATGAATTTTTAAAGCAGAAACTGTAAGTAAACAAGTATTGTTTTCCTTAGCTAGATTCCTATTTTAAATCATACATTTTTTTTTCTGCAAATACCAGACGGGTGTTTTGACACAACGGCATTTTGTGACTAGACTGAGGGCTCATCACCAGGGGTGGACTGACAACTCATGGGGCCCCCGGGCAATAGGGGATCATGGGGCCCCTGTGTCCTCGCCCACACTCAAACCACACCCAAAAAAGCCTATAAAAGGTACCAGGGGCATCTCATGGTGCCCCCTACTGACCCTGGGCCCTTGGGCAGAGCCCGAGCTCCCAAATGGTCAGTCCGCCCCTGCTCATCACAACAGAATGCGGTGCTGGAAACCCACATTCCCTGCATGTTTCTTAGACCATGTTCAAAATACACCCCAAATGCAGATCACAAATGCAGTGCATTTGCCTTCAGCGCCTCAGTACTGTGTGATGCGGTGCATTAAATTTTTGAAAAGAAGTCTATGCGGTAGTGGTGCAATCCTTTAAAACAAATAGGCTGAAAATCGCACCACACTGAATTGCACAGGAACATGGACAGCACTGTGATTTAAGTGTGAACCTGCCCTTAAAGGGGTACTGTGGTAAAGAAAAGAGGAGGTATTATACTTACCTCTCCCCCAGCCAGGTCTATTCTTGCTCCATTCAAAGTGATAGAAAAGGTTTGGTTTTCGTTTTCTTCAGTTTGTAAACAACAGACATGTTATACTTACCTGCTCTGTGCAATAGCTTTGCACAGAGTGGCCCTGATCCTCCTGTTCTTTGTTCCCCTACGGGCATTCTCAACTCCTTCTATTCTTCATAGAACAGACTTGTTATACTTACCTACGCTGTGCAACAGTTTTGCACAGAATGGCCCTGATCCTCCTATTTTGGGTTCCCCCATGGGCATTCTCAACTCCTCCTATTCTCCATAGAACAGACATGTTATACTTACCTGCTCTGTGCAATAGTCTTGCACAGAGAGTGGCCCTGATCCTCCTATTCTTTGTTCCCCCACGGGCATTCTCAACTCCTTCTATTCTCCACAGAACAGACATGTTATACTTACCAGCGCTGTTCAATAGTTTTGCACGGAGCGGCCCTGATCCTCCTATTTTGGGTTTCCCCATGGGCATTCTCTATTCCTACTATTCTCCATAGAACAGACTTGTTATACTTACCTGCACTGTGAAATAGTTTTTCACAGAGTGGCCCTGATCCTCCTATTTTGGAGTCCCCCATGGGCATTCTCAACTCCTCCTATTCTCCATGTGCCACCAAAGGAAGCTACTTCCTATGCCATACATGTGGACTTGATCCCAAGCCAGGCTGTGTGAATCTATTGCCACATACAATGTGTCTCAGCCCCGCCCTCTGCTTCTTCCTCACAGGATTTGATTGACAGCACCAGTAGCCTATGGCTCCCACTGCTACCTCAGTCCTTGTGAGGAGAGAGAGAGAGAATAGTGCTGGATTGAGATCAAGCCCAGGTAAGAATTTACAGGGGCTGGGGGGGAGCTGAACATGAAAGGTTTTTTTTACCTTAATGCCGAGAATACAGAAAAACTTTTAGCCTTTACAACCACTTTAACCACTACAGCAATTATCAGAATACTCTGCATTCAACAGTTCTGGGTATTGGATGCCTGTGTTCCCTGCTTCGCTCTGTGATTCCATCCTTTGTTCATATAGGACACAGCAGTAGGGAAGACAAGTGGAGGCTGTAACACTTCAACAGAACAAGAATTGGCTGCTGCTAAGAATAACAATTTTTTTATACAAGATACTGTGCTTAGCTTTTTTTTATTGTCACTTTAAAACTGAACTTCAGGCAGATGTTGAAAAACATTAATGAATGAAATATTATGTTTATTAAAAATCCATTTGATGTATTGTTAAATACAACCAATGTGAATACCTGAATTGGACTTATTTCAACTTCTTGTTATTCCTTTCATAGCAGCAATCAGATTGGTAGAGGGGTGAGGAAGCTTAAAGGAGAAGTATAGCCAATGCTCTTTTGGCTGTACTCATCCTGTGGACCACTGGAGTGCAGTTTGTTCTGTACTCCTGTGACCCGTTTTCAACTGACAGAGGGCTGAAGTCCATCCAGGCTGGGGAAAGATCCTAACTTTAAAGTCGGGATCCACCCCAGAGTCTGGAGCAGCACCTGGTTCAGCCTCTCAGTGATCCACTGAGAACCTGAGCCAGCCATTCCCTCCCCCTCCACAGCGCAGTGCTCCAGTGAGTGTGGGGGAGCAGAGCAGATATCGGTGACTGACAGACACCATTCTTGACAGTCACCATTCTCTGCTGAGAGCAGCTATGAGAACTCAGCGATAATGTG